CTTGTGTTTCCCTGCTGGAGATGCCCCGTAAGTGACCTACGGTCCTTTCCCAGTGCTGGGCTTGATGGAGAAACAGCGTCCTTCGTAGCTGTGCCATCACAGCACTGGGGAGAAAACATCTTGACTATTATGCCTTGATTGGCTCAAGTGACCTGTTGCAAGCTGTGGAGGTGTGTTGCTAAGGTAACCGTACCCATGACAGTTGTCACGAGGCACTGCCTTTTCACTTGGTGGCCTTTCCCTTTGCCTCTTCAAAATCCCTGCCGTGGTTTTCTGACCAGAAACAGCAAGCACTGAGTGCCTTTGAAGGAAGAATTTGAGGAAAGAAAGACAGCTCCTTGGCAAGATACATCGTGGGACTTCAGCCCTGAGATGTGCTTGGTTTTTAAACTACAACTCCCAGAATCCTACAAGCAGTCACCGTGGGTGTGTGTGAAGAAGTAATACCTTAAAAAGCAAATATTTCCCACCTGTCTGCTCCTGACCTTTGACACTGTCCTCAAGAGAAGAGTGAGAGATTTGGGGGGGGGGGTTAAATCCCTAAGAAATCTTCGCACATTGCAAAACCATAAGTCCTGTTTTGGTACCAAAAGGGATGGCCTTCGTTTCTTGAGATTCTCATCCCCACCACATCTTCCAGTGTTGCTTGGAAGGATGGCATCACCCCCTTTTAATGGCAAACTCAGGCGATGAGTGCCAACAGAAATGAAGTCAAACATTTAATTCCCCCCCTTGCCCCATCCACCAAACACTAAGGGAGCAGGTTCCCAAAAATGTATAGGATCACAGAGTTGGAAGGGGACTATAAGACCATCGGTCCAACCCCCTGCTCAAGGCAGGAATCCATATCAAAGCCAATCAGACAGAGGGGGGTCCAATTTTCTCTCAAATGCCTCCACTGTCAGAGCATTCTCCTCCTCCTGAGGTCATTGGTTCCATTGTTGTACTGCTCTAACACTTAAGAAGTTTTTTCCCCCTGATATTAAGTCAAAATCTGGCTTCCTGTTGCTTGAGCCCAATGAGGAGCAAACAGGTTGAGCAATTTATGGGATGCTGAATCTCTGTAGGTGAAGAAAAAGGGAGGAGGGGAAAAAGTAAGGAACAATGTTCCCTAGTGGGGGGAGGGCATGGTTGGCTGGGTGAAAATGTGCACTGGAGCACTTTTGGAGTAAAGCCTCCCATTGCAACATTTGAAGCAGATCCATTTGTTTGTATAGAAATGTATTGTATGTGAGTACAAATGGTTGATCACAGGCTACAAGACTTCCTCGCCTCCCCAAAAGCATCAGCTGCCCAAAGATGCCCAGAGCATCTTGTAGGAAGTGGAAGCAGCAAGTTAAAATATTTGGTGTTTGATTCTTCTGTGACCCACGGTGTGTAGAAGAGGTTCCAGCTTAGCAACTTTCCTTTGGCTGTGTGAAAGCCATTGGCCTATTTATGCCTGGGGAAATCCCCGCCTCCCTGCCTCCACAGTCTTCCTCGGCAGAGAACAAATAAGAGAATTATTTGTAGAATCAAACAGACTTTAAACAGCTAGGGCTTTGGCTGTCTCAAAGGATCAGCCATCTTTTTCTGAACCTGGACATGAAGGTCTTCAGGAGAAATCTTCTTGCGAATACCAACAGCTGCTGAAAAAGGTTTAGAACTTTAGAGGGCAAGAAAAATGGCAAAGGAGCTTCCATTATGAGGAAAGGTTACGACTCCAGGGACCCTTTAGCTCAGGAAAAGCAAGCAAGGATAGAGACAACAGACTGTAAAATGCACAAGATGGAGAGAGAGAGGAAAAAAAGAAAGGGAATTGTTTTTTCTCCCTTTAATAATGTTAGAATTGCAGAGCTGGAAGGAACCCCAGCAAACACTGAATCCAGCCCCCGTCAAAGAGGCACAGCGGGGAATCGAACTCCAGATGACTTTCAGCTAGTGAAGTAAAAGCCAGGAAGGAAGCCATATCCATCAGGAATTTGCTTTAAATAAGACAGCCCGGCTCCTACATCTGGCTGAGATTTTGGGGACTTTTTCACTGCTTCTGCACTCCCACCACCATCTCCACTCTGTAATGCCCAGTCTGATGGAGAGTCTTTGTGTTGTTTAGTCATTAAGTCGTGTCCGGGCCAGAGCATGCCAGGCCCTCCTGTCTTCCACTGCCTCCCAGAGTTGGGTCAAATTCATGTTGGTCGCTTCGATGACCCTGTCCATCCATCTCATCCTCTGTCATCCCCTTCTCCTCTTGCCTTCACACTTTGCCAGCATTAGGGTCTTTTTCAAGGAGTCTTCTCTCAGGATCTGTGGTTCCAGTGAGCACTCAGTGTTGATTTCCTTCAGAATGGATAGGTTTATTTTATTTATTTATTTATTTGTTTGTTTGTTTATATCCCGCCTATCTGGTCGGTTAAGACTACTCTAGGCAGCTAGCAGCATAAAATAGCACAAAAGGTAAACATAAAAACAATTTTTACATAGAAGAAACATTAGTCAAGATGGGAGGAAACAATAGGAGAGGGAGAGAAGAGGGCATCAGGAATTTGTTCTCCTTGCAGTCCAGGGGACTATCAAGAGCCTTCTCCAGCACCACAATTCAAAAGCATCAATTCTTCGGTGGTCAGCCTTCTTTATGGCTTTCTACTAACATGGAAACCTCCTCCAAAACTGTTCAGCAGAGTCTTACAAGACTCTAAAGCTGGCCCCCGCTTATGAGATTTTAGGAGATTTTACTAAGGTACTGAGGAGTCCCTTCTTATTTAACTGCATTAGTATGCTGAGTATTAAACCAATGAATAGAGATAGTGCATTCATGGTCTCTCTATTTTCTCTGCATAGTTATGTTACATTCCTGATACTGAGAACAGAAAAGACAAAGCTCGTCACAATCTGGTCTGATATTATTGTTCTTGTTGTTGTTTCAACTACTGCTCCATAATGTTAGAGCACTCTCTGGGTGGTTTACAACATTATACAAGAAACACTTTACAGTATTTAAGGTATTTTACAGCATACGGCTGCATTCTGTACTGGACCTCCTTATTAATTTTCTGCATTCACACTACAAGCATTTGCTTAACTGCCTTTTAGTCTAGCAACTGCTTAACTTTTCCCCTTGTAATTTTGTGTTGTTCTTCCAAACGATGGCAGCTGAGATATTCTGGGAACATTTTGGGACCCTTTCCTATGTCACTGCCAATTTCCTTGCTGTCCAGCTCTGGCCTTTTTTGTATGAGCAGTTCTCTTCAAAGGGAGCACCCTCCCAACTTCCTCATGAAATTGATCAGAGGTCAAGATATTTGTCTGAGGAGTCCCAGAGTCACCCAAGGCGAGGGGGAAGACTTACTGTGTCAGGAGAAGACTTCCATTAAAAAGTTTTTCTTTATGAACATGGAATTAGTCCCAAGTGGAGGATGGGTTGCACAGAATGAAGAAAAGGGGTCATGTGATAAGTGGGGATAAGCCAGTATTTTGTAAAATGGTAGATTTTCTATATGTTTTTCTTTTTTAATTTAAATAACATTTAATTAATTTTTTTAAAAAAAATCCTAGAGTTGTTATGGGTTCTCTTTCAATTGCTAAGCTATGACTGGGCACCCTTACCGTCCGAGAGATGCTGTTTTTCCTCCCCTAAATGTTCGATTGCTATGCCATAGATGCTATTATCAGGAAACAAACAAACACCAGTAGCAGCCGCTAAATGGGAGACTTGGTCTTCATTGGAAAGGCTGAATCACGAGTTCCAGTCCCCAAGCAAGGCCACCCCTTCTCCTCCACCCCCCAGCCAGTCAGGCATTTTTCCCTCCGGGGGGCTCAGCAACGCCCTGGATGGGCCACTCGCAGGACCGCGGGCCGCTTCTGGACCCAAGACTTTATCCCATTGCGCTCTCCCCCCCCCGCCCCACCCGCCGTCATCTTTAGCCTCGGATGCTCTGTTTCCCGGCCGCGGCTTCTTGGTCTTCCGAGCCTCCGGGCTGGCAAGCCTCCCGTTAGGCCGATCACCTGCCCCCCATCACCCGCCCCACGGGGCCACCAACTCCGGCAATATGTTTGGGGTGGGGGAGAGGACGGAGGGAGAGAAAGAGGGAGGGGGAGCGCCTTCAGAGTCTTATTTCCTTCCATGCTGGGGGGCGCTGTGGGGGGGCAGTGGTGGAGCCAATCTCGCCTCTCTCTTT